CCGTTGCATTTTCTATCGTGCCTGTCTTCTTTACTTCCTGGACTAAAGTAAAGTAATTGGGGGGGAGAGCTGAGTGGTTTGAGCATTGGCCTGCTAAACGCAGGGTTGTGAGTTCAATTCTTGAGGGGGCTGTTTAGGGATCTGGGGCAAAAATCTGTCTGGGGATTAGTCCTGCTTTGAGCAGGGGGTTGGACTAGATGACCTCCTGAGGTCCCTTCCAACCCTGATATTCTATGACTTCAAACAAGTGTCATGAGCTGTTACTGTGCTCTGTTAAACAGCAGTGGTGTATCACCTCCCTTTTCTCTCACTGCTTTCCTTTGTTTGTTACCTTCCCTCATCTTATCCTGTTTGTTTGTATGGCAGCCTTCATTGAATGCTGTTGCAAAAAATTATCATCATTTAAACCAGGGGTCTCAAAGTCCCGGGCCACGGGCCATCTGTGGCCCGAGAACCTCCCCACTGCAGCCCGCGGGGGAGAGACACAGGCAGACACGCTGCTGGCAATGTCTACTGCAGGTGCCTCCCCCCACAGTTCCCATTGGCTGGGGAAGAGGGACAGAGATACCATCATTAGTTGCTGGGCAGAGTCAGCCATGGAGGCAGCGTCACTCTGTTCAACGATGAATATAAACGAGTCAAAATACCGAACACACTATCTGATGCACACCTTGCTGCAATCCTGAAGATTTCAATTGCTGAGTCACTGAGGCGAAACATCAACAAACTGACAGAACTGAAGCGTTGCCAGGTGTCTGGCAAACATTAAAAACTCTCTGGCAGGTGAAGAATTGTATAAAGTTGTATGACAGTTTTATTATTTCTAAGAAATTCAAAATAAAAAATACAATATAAATGTTTTCTTTTCTGAACACCATCTTCAGTGACATTATTGGCCTACTGGGAGGATTTGAGGACAGGCCCTGGCCCTAAGGTAAATTGAGTTTGAGACCCCTGATTTAAACGTAACTGGCCTGATCTCTTTTCCAAGTCCCGCACCCCACAGCCATTGGGGTAGGTTGATCTGTTGGGATTTCACACTGAATCATGACCTGCTGTTCCTGTGCTCAGACAAATCTCTGTTTCCCCTCAGTTTATTGGATACAGACACTTAAGTTCGTTAAAGACATTGTTATGGGTCTACCTTTCAGGCCTGCCGTTGATGGTGTTCTGTGCAACAGCTGTATGTGTTGTCCTATGCACTTACTAAGAGTGCAATGTGCAATAAAAAGATGATAAAAAAATTCCCAAAATGCATTTGTTTCCATCCTCCTCCTCCTTAATTCCATTACTCCCCCCCCCCACACACCTGCACAAACCAGAGACAGAAGGGAAGGCAGAGGTGTTGCGCTTTAGTACAGTTATACAGGGCCTTTGTCACCTCAGAGTTAGATTTGTCGTAATGTTCTCTGTGTGGGGCTGCACTTTGGGACCCTTCCGAAGTTGAAGTTAGTTCAGAATGCGGCTTTCTTAAGCACATTACACCAGGATCAGCACTGGCTGACGATAATTTTCCAGATGGAATGCAAGGTGCTGATGTTAACCTACAAACAGGAGCGCCGGCAGCCATTTTGGCGCCCTAGGCGGCGGAAGGTCCCGCCCCCAAAATGGCGCCCCCGACAGAGGCGGCGGAAGGTCCCGCCCCTGAAATACCGCCGACGACCGCGGCGGCCAGATGTTCGTCCGCCGTGGTCGCCGCCCCCAAAATGTCAGCGCCCTAGGCGACCGCCTAGATCGCCTAATGGGTTGCGCCGGCCCTGCCTACAAAGCCCTAAACAATTTGGGATCTGGTTACCAAAGAGGCAGTCTCTTTCCCTAGGCCATTCTACCATGGTTGAATTCTGCAGAGATGCTAGAGCTGGCATTCTCTCATTCATAAGTGTGAGAGATCTGGTGGGCTGTACTCCACTGAAACACAATCACCCATGGGATACAACAGCAACACCATACAATAGTTCAGAAGAGGAAATAAAGAATACCACAGCCACGAAATCTGCCAGGGTAGTTTTGGAAGGCAGGATGTCGTTTTTGACATTGATGTTTGTGCAGGACACTAGGGCTTGCACTCTAATCTTGCAAAAATTGCTAGGGGATCCTTAATGACCAGTAAGGACAGCACATTTGTCTTATGTCCTGGGTGGATTGATTTAAATCCGCAGGCAGGAAACTTTGATTTAAATAGACTTTGTAATTTGTAATTTTTAGTTATTTTCCTAAAGAAAAGTTGATTCTCATTGGTTGGTACAAATTGTTACTATCTGCTAGCCAGAAGGACACACTATGGCTATAAAAACAACAAGGAGTCCGGTGGCACCTTAAAGACTAACAGATTTATTTGGGCATAAGCTTTCATGGGTAAAAAACCTCACTTCTTCAGGAGTACTCCCTTCTCTTCATGTATCATTATATAATGCCAGCATCTGTAACTTTCACTCCATGCATCTGAAGAAGTGGGGTTTTTACCCACGAAAGCTTATGCCCAAATAAATCTGTTAGTCTTTAAGGTGCCACCGGACTCCTCGTTGTTTTTGTGGATACAGACTAACACGGCTACCCCCGATACATGACACCACTATGGCTATACACATTTATTTAAGTAGTTTTATAGTTTAACATACATTTATTCCGATTGTTAATTTTTACATTTTTTATTGTGTTAGAAAATGTTAAATGTATTTCTTATTTACTAGAAGATGATTATCTTTTTAGTCATGATCTGGGTCAAGCTGCCTTTTGATGGAAATTTGGAATTCAATTAAAACGCACAAAATGCATTTTCAATGTGTTTTTATTAGTTAAATAAAACTACCTTAAATGTGATAGATACAAAAGTGAAAAAAAATTATCAAAACATGTTCTGCATTTATTTATGAATTAAACAAAGGAAGTATTACCTGCAGTTAGTGAACTGATCTGATTGTTGTCACCACGTCCTTCAAGATTTTAGAACTAGTAGCTCTCCTTTCACACTCAGTTTTATTCATAGATTGGAAGAGGAAAACAAGCTTTGCTGCCTTTTCCATCCCAATTTGTTTCTCAACTTCAAATGAACTAATAATTTCACTGGACTAGTTGAATAAACTGAAATGAAGAAAATGTTCAGTCTGCACCTACAGAAGAGACCTCTGCCAGGGGTGCTGGAACAATTTTTATAGTGGCAGTGCTGAGAGCCACTGAACCAAACTGTAAACCCTGTATCTGATGGAAACCACTTCAAGCCAGGAGATGTGGTAGCACCTCCAGCACCCCTAGCTCCAGCACTTATGACCCAGGTGCTTAGCCAGTGACTTCCTCTAGTTCACTGATCTGACTTTCTTTAAAACGTGGCAGCAAACATATACTGCTTGAATATTATTATTTTTATTTCATTTCAATGATTTTTAATACATTATAATAAGTTTAGGCCTTAACTTATGCTGTCAGAATTTCAAAATTTAATTTTAAATAGGTTGCTTTTTAAAAGGAAAACAATGTATTTAATTTAAATAAAAATCAGATTTGATTTTTTTAAATCACTGATTTTTATCCACCCTGCTTACGTCTAATCTGCCTCCAACAGCACAGTGACCCCTAGCCCAGTGCTGGAACATGATTAGTCCAGTAATGTCGCCTCTCTTGAATCACAGTAAAAGCAAGGAATCCTTGTTGCTTCAGAGCATGAGACGCTGTCTAGTAACTTCTAAGAATTACCTTGTATTAGGAAAAGAGCTAGAAGTTGCTGTAATCCATGACTTTAACAATCTGGTTGTGAAGTCACTATACAGTATTGACAACCTTTTAACTTTAGATTTAGGAGATAAATATTGATCTAGTAAATGACTGTCCTGTGCTATCAATCTGGCTGGAAGAACTAAGCCATCTGTCATCGGTGAAGTGGAAATGCGAGATACTGATTTACTGCCAGTCAGAGAGAGATGAGCAAAAGGAGAGTTAACATTGAAAACTAACTTCATTTTACCTGGGAACTACTGCAACGAGCCCAAAGTGATCGATAAAAGGGATGTTTCACTTTTTCAGTGCTCAACATTGAAAAGTCATGAAAGGGAAGGGTGAGTTTTATTAAACAAGAGACCCACCGTACCAGTCAGATACATACTGGAGGACATGTGCTGCCATTTACAACACCTGTGTGTTGGGATGGATTACCCAGCTGATACTACATAGGGGACGGGTGCTAATCCTCTGGCTCATTATAAGCAACATCTTACACTGTGAACAGTCTAATTTAATATCAGTGGGGGTACTGGCAGAGACAATGCCAGCGCGGGTGCCAGAATAGAGCCCTGTCAAATTTAAAATTCATGCCAGAACAGATGTATGGGGAATTCCCTTCTAGAGGAGTCCACAGAACAGGAAGGATGCTGTCACCCTGTGTTGACAGAGGTCTATCTGAAACCCCACCATTATGGATACAAGCAGCCTGAAAATGGCACAGACTGAGCTGACACCTCTCCAGTAGGAATCCTCAGATGAAATGAGCATCAATGACTACCAGGGCTGTCAAATCCTGTACCCTTCCCCCCATGCCACCTCCGACTTCAGGCCATGCTAGTGGCCTCCATAGCTGTGACCAGACTTCTTGGTTTAGACAGAAACATTCCAGGAATTCTCCTGATTACAGGAGTTCATGACACCACGGGTAAGCTATAAAAGACATACAAATTATGCTCACCTGTGACAGAATCAGTCCCACAGCTGGCTGAAAAGAGATACCAGAACTCCCAGAAAAGCTGTAATGTCACTAGCCCTGCTATTCCCTAAATCAACTATACTCACTCCATAGCAAATGAGTCAACTAATAGGTCTCTTCCAGCATTGCTGCTTCCAATATATCTATATCTATATCTATATATATCTATATATCACTGGATATATGTTACATTAAGGAAATGCCAAGAGGCAGGGAAACCATGACAAAGTCAGAACATTTCAGTAGGACCTACACTATTATGTTGTTAAAATTCACAAAGGCACTGCAGAAGGGAAGTCTCTGGGATTACCTGGGATTTCATCAGTCTCTCCATTGGTGTGTTTAAATCGATCTCCTTCCACATGGACATTTGGACACAGCACATCTACAAAGAACAAGAATAAAAAAGCAATGATTATAAATGGAAGCTTGGTCACTCAATGGAAAATTATATAAATATAAATATAAGCAGTATCTATCTATCCCACTGGAATACTCCCCTAGGCATATGAAATATAGATGCCAAAATTCGAACCACCTTCCAGTCAGTAAAAACTTTATTATGGTTGTTATTTGTATTATGGTAGCGCTTCCAGGACCTGGCTGAGATTGGGGCACTGTACAAACATTGAGTAAGAGACAGTTCCTGCTCCAAAGAGTTTAATATCTAAACAGACCCAGGTTCCCATCATCTCGTATCTCATTTACTGCACCATCCTCTTTTCTCTGGTCTTGACGAGTGGATTCAGAATGCTGCTGCAACGATCATTTTCCTAGCCTGTTGCTTTGATCATGTTACCCTTCCCTTTGCTTCCTTCCTCTAGCTCCCCGTTCTCGATCATGTCAGCTACTTGGCTTCACTTTCGAGGCCCTTCATGGCCTATCCCCATCCTACTTATCTTCTCTCATTCACTGTCAAGCTGTCAACTCCTGCCTCTGTTCAGCCCATGTCCATCGCCCATCTGTTAAATTTTCAAACAAGCACCCAAGTTGCCCCTCATGAATGGGAGAAGCTCCCCATAAACATCCACAAATCTACCTCAATATCCTCCTTCAACACCCTCCTGAAAACTCTCCTTTGTGGTGAAGCCTACAGGAAACTTGACAGTGGTTAGGCTGTTGATGTGCTGAGACCACTGCCTATCACTGTCTCATTGTTTTCTTGTACTTCCCTATCTGTCGGTCTGTATCTATTTGTTGTCTCTTGTCTTATATTGGATTGTAAGCTCTTTGGGGGTAGGTACAGCGCTTAGCACAACGGGGTCCTTGTTCAAGACGGAGGCTCCTAGGTAATGCTACAGTAATACAAATAACAAACAGAGACTCGCCAAAGGTCACAGAGCAGGTCTGTGGCAGAAACAGAAAAAGAACCCAGTCTCCTGAACCTCAGTCCAGTACCATACCCACGGGCTACCTCACCTCCAAAAAATTGGGCTTTAACTATTTCCCAGTGCGCCTTTATTTTGCTCATCCACAAAGCACTGCTGAGCACAATGAAGATTTGGAATACCACTCCCAGGTAAGCCAAGTGTCAAATAGCATTTGATAAAAATCACACTAATACCCAACCTTTGTCCAACATTTTTCAAGCTCCAAATTGGTGTCAACTCGATCTTTGGGTCCATCCATCTATGTACACTAGTGCCTGCCTACCTACCTCTTTCCTATCATAGATCTAAAGTAACTTTATATTTATATTTTGTTTTCCTAGATCAATAGCTAATTTCACACTTCTAAACAATGGGACATATGGCTCAAGGAGTCTGTTTAATGAGAATATGAAAAATGTGCACACCAGACTGTGCATTAGAAACCGCACTACTATTTTTCATTCCATACTTTAATGTTCAGCCAGGTGGGAATCTAACACAGATACTATTCCTTCATCTGCACCAGATGTATGCATAACAATAAACACATCCCCTGGTCTTCCACTGTTATAATTCCATCCTCATATGTCTTTCCCCGCACCTTTTGCTGATTATTAACCACTGCTGCATTACAACATGCATCGTTTCAATGATTTGATTGTTCAGGAAGGGACCTGTCTTTTCTGTTTGTCCGTAAAAAGGTATACTCAATTTAGGAGTGATACAGATAAAAAACATGATCAGCATTATTGATTTCAGCGGCAGAGGTTACTATACACTTGTTCCCTAAAGGAAGCCAAACCCATTATGAAATGGACAAAATGAACACTCTAGAACAGGTACTGCAAACAGTCCCTCATATTATTATGATATCTCTTAGCAGTCTTTAATGTACAATGGACGTCACCACAAAGCATAATCATCTTATTGGTAAGTCTATCTTGGGACTGCAGCACTGCTCCAAGATCAGAATTGTAAGGCAGTAGATTTGCTACTGACAATCACACTTCTTTATGTGTTCCTCTTTTGGGATTCTTTTTTATTCAATACACGGTCTTCTCCATTAATCCTGCTCTGGAACAAGAGTAACACAATTAATGGGAAGAGGGATGGATGAACTGATCTGGGTAAGAGAACTCCCTGAACCTTTCATCATAGCTTGACCCATTCTGTTTTGTTTTGGGTTTTTTGATCCAAAACCTTCATTTCACTTTTTTAAAAAGTTTCAGGCACTTTGGGCTCTGGATAGAAGCAAAAGGTTCCCAAACTCCAAAACAAGCTGTTCTTGTGACCTTTCCAACCCAAACTGAAACAGCAAATTCCAGAAATCTCACAAGGGCACCTTATATTCCCAATTTTGCTGATAAATAGCAGAAAAACATCCCACAAAACCAAAACACTAGAAAACGTGCCGTTATCCTGAGCAGCATTAAAATGAACCAGATGATGGCATTTCCACTACAGTACCTCCCTTGGCCATCTATTCCACAGCCTGGGAAGTTGTTCCATATATCAAGACAAAATTTTACATTGCTCAATTTTGTTGCTTCTTTCCTAGTGAGACACACCTCTTTATTACCTTAAGAATTCCTCATCTCCTTGGAGCCCAGTCCTTCCTTCATTTCCACAGATCCACCTCTCAGCAACTTCACCGAGGGTATGTCTCTACTACCCGTCAGATCGCCGGGCAGCGATCGATCCAGCAGGGGTCGATTTATCGTGTCTAGTCTAGACGCAATAAATCGACCCCTGAGCGCTCTCCCATCAACTCCGGTACTCCACGAGGGCGAGAAGCACAGGCGGAGTCGATGTGGGAGCGTCAGCAGTCAACTTACCGCAGTGAAAACACCGCGGTGAGTAGATCTAAGTACGTGGACTTCAGCTATGTTATTCACGTAGCTGAAGTTGTGTAACTCAGATCGACCCCCCCCTCCAGTGTAAACCAGGCCTGAGAGTTGCATCTGTGTAACAGATTAGAGCTTGCTGTTTGTACCTTTCAACTATTTGCAGATGGCTTAAATTTCCTCTTTACCCTTTCATCATAATTTAGCCAAACAATACATGTTTAGGGCCAGACTCTGATCCCAATTACATCAGTGTAAATCTGTGGTAATTTAGTTTACTTCAGTGGATTATACCAGTGTAAATGGGAGCAGAATTTGGCCACTGTATCTTTTATTAATTGCCTTCTTATGCAATCAACCCCAATCCTTTACTCTGCTGTCTCATCAGGACAGATATATTCTCCTGTAACTATCCTTAGTTTTTTTAACTAATGAGCTACTAGCTCTGAACAAAGTAGCACTGAAGGTTTTATCATCTAGGCTTTTTGAATCAAAGCTTCCAGTCTCAGTACACAGGTATCTATGAGTTTACTGGCTGTACTGAACATTTCTCCACTATAGAGATATCAAGGTACGCACCTAACCTTCTAAAAAGCCTTCTTCCGCCATGCACTTGTCTTGGAGTAAAAGCTGACACAGATTTATGGGGGAGGTGGTCTCCGAAGTGTTAGCCAGCTGTGACAGAATACCCCCCCATATTCACAGCCTAAACACTATTGTAATAATCTTTGTACAAAGTATGCCTTGCAAGATATCATTTGAAAACTCATAATTTGCTGGTCAGTATTGCCCAGGTAAAATATGTGTGGCAACATTGTATGTGAAGTTATAAGAGTCCCCTGTATGGTGTTATTAACATATGCTCCAAACCCCACAGTCCTGCCCAAACGGATGTTGGCAAACAGGTCTGACCTAAACAAAGGAATGTGTGCTTACTTTAATTTGCATTTAAGCAGTAAACAGAATCATCAAGCAGAAAGGGGAGACAAAGGAAGCTCAAACAGGTGAAAAAACCCCAGCAGGGAACATCCTTCCACATAGGCCTTGTCTACACTACCAAGTTTTGATGCCAAAAACTGCCTTTTGTCGACCAAACAGTGAACACGTACACACTGCGATGCAAGTTTTGTTAGGGAAAATGCCCTGTTTTGGCAACAAAATACATCCACCCCAACAAGAGACTTACGTCTTTTTCCTCTACATTTTTATCGACAAAGTGCCAGTGCAGACACCATGCTTGATTTCATCACTTTAATTGGCCTCCAGGAGGTGTCCCACAATGCCCATCCTGACTGTTGTGGTCAGCAGTGTGAACTCTACTGCCCTGCAGTCAGGTAAACAACCATCGGCCCCTCCCACTTAGAAGCCCTGGGAATTTTTGAAATTCCATTTCCTGCTAGCTCGGCATGGAGAGGTCTCATTGCAGCTTCCCAAGTGACCATGGCGCTACCAATACATGCACAGGCACGTTAATAATTTCCTTACTAAAATATAAGGCCCCAAATGTCACCATTGCCTACTAGGAACACTGTAACATTGAAGCACCTCTGGCAGAGATACATTACTGGTGCTGGTTGTCAAAGTGCTGCCTCAAAGCCTCCCTGATTCAAATTGCCCTCCTCTGGGCCCCTCTGATAGCCCAGGTATCTGGCAGCTCAAAATCAGCGGCCAAGCACTCTGCCTCAGCCCTCCATCCCTGAGCAAGCCTTTCACACTTAGCTTCACAGAGATCATGCAATGTACAGCACGTGGCTATGATCATGGGAATATTATCCTCATTAAAGTCTAACCTGCCATAAAGGTATCGCCAGTGCGCTTTTAATCTGCCAAAGGCACATTCAATTCTCATCCGGCACCTACTCAGCCTGTTGTTGAACCGCTCCTTACTACTGTCCAGGTGTCCCATGTAAGGTTTCATGAGTCACAGGTGTAAGGGGTATGCTGGGTTTCCCAGGATCACTATGCGCATTTCAACATCCCTCACTGTAATCTTCTGGTTTGGAAAGAAAGTCCCCGCTTGCAGCTTTCTGTACAGGCTGATGTTCCTGAAGATGCATGCGTCATGCTCCTTCCCGGACCACCCTGCGTTGATGTCAGTGAAACCCCCCCCCAGTGATCCACAAGCACCTGCAACATCATGAAGAAATATCCCTTTCTATTGATGTACTCTG